CTGCTGAACATGATAAACACATTTCTAGGCATTCGGCCATGGAATCATGTATATGATGAGAGAACCAGTGGAGTGATTTTAACTCCCAGCCCTTTCAAATGGGGAAGATTACAATTGCAGAGGTATTTGTTAGTGGCACAGTGGTGGGGTTTTTGGTGGTGGTTTTTTTTTATTGTAACTGTTGGCTAAATGAGGTGCCACAAAAGAGGAATTATCTGTGAAGAAGTTTTTTTTAGTGCAGGCTATTGAGGAACTGACTACAGTAGCTTTGGGTTTTGTTTGGTTCTTTGGTAGGAAACAAATCATCCATTCACAGGGAGGGGGGAGAATATTGTGGGGGAAACAGTTTTTAAATCAGTCAAAAAGGGGTTTGGTCTGTTTGACACGTTCTCATTTTGTGCAATTAGATGTCTAATGGTGATGAGTGACAACTCAAGCTAACATCCTTCATCAAATTACACCTAACTCACCAACTCAAAGTCACTGCCTGGTATGAGGTGATGCTGTAGCATTCTTGTCCATCCTCCTCCTCGTGGTGTCATAACCTGCCTCTTCCCACAGCCCCAGCAGTCATGCTGGTGGGCGGAATTCCACTGCCGGGATACTCTCAGTCATTGCCAAGGCAGATGCACGCAAAACAATTGCAAATCTGAAGTAATTAAACATCTGAAATTATTTTTCCTGTCTTGTTCTAGTCCCCCTTGGGAGGTGTTTATTATATTATGTAAATATATTTGCAGTGCAAACTGTGATAAGGGTGTGGTGTCTGATTGAATGGAATATTGAATGAGCATAAAAATAACAAACTTGCTCTGCAGGGCGTCTATTTTGAGGCTCTCCAGCAGCATGTAAACAAAAGTGACCATAGGGTCCTGCATGCTATTGGAAGGGTATTTTTTGTAGGGGAAGTGAGAATGCTTTGATGTTGACTTATTTCTCAGTAGCGCTTCAAAAATTCCATGACAGTGAAAATTAAAGATCTCCTGCAACTTTTATGAGCCCTGCCTTTACCATTTTTTCTCTTGGTAAATGCTGTTCTTGCAATCAATCTAAGCCTAAAATACAGGGGGAAAAGAAAGTCTGGGAAGTTCATATAATAGAACTGGCAAAAGGGCAATTTATTTTTAAGTTTTACAGTGAGATGCATCACAGGAATGCAAGATGAAGTGTGTGTGTGTGTGTGTGTGTAGGAATAAATTCTCTTCTCCTGAAGACTCCTGAAACCCCAAAGAAACATCTTGTTTAGTTTGTTGGTATTACACTTGCTGTGCCTTAAGACAATAGTTAAACTCTAATCTTTTTGGCTCATTTTGCAAACAGTACAGTTGTACAAGGCTTTTAGATTTTGACACTGAAATGTCCTGTGTGAAGAGAAAAAATGGGAATTATGTACAGATGCAGTGTTGAATAGGGTGGTTAACTCATGGAAATTTTTCTACACCAGCTTTATACTGGGGGAGCTTTCAGTTAGTTACCTAGACAGTCCTTGCATCTGGCTGGTGGACTTGTGCTGTGTGTGGCATTCCAAATGGCTGCTGTGAATGTGTGCTAAACCTGCCTTAATTCAAGAGCCAAATCCGGGGCTGAACACAGCTTCCTGTCCACTGTCTGTCCTCAGCCCTCTTTGTCCGCTTGGTGTTGTGACACTGTAGTTGTATTTCGGGTTGTTGCCCGTGCTGAGTTGAATACTTGCAAGAGTAAGTAGGAATCTGCATAAAAAAGTATTACAGCTGTAAACAGGGCAGAAACTCTGTAGTCTCTGTCTTGGCACAAATGCATGAGATGCACCTTGTTTGATCAATAAGCCAGTTCTGCTTGTGTAACTTCCCAGACAGGAGCAGGCTGCTATAATGGCAGTGGCTTTGAGGAAAAGGTGGAGTATTCTGTTAACTTGAAAGCAAATATTGAAGGTGTTAATATTTATTTCCCAAATCCCAAGAAACCAGTGCAGCTGAGGTTGTTGCTGTTGCAACAGTTACAGCTGACGGCTGTGAGTTAGAGTTGCAAAATCTCCTTTTGCTGAAAGCTTTCTTCCTAGCAGACAAAAAAATACAAAACAAACAAAACGCACCCCAAACAACTACCACTCCATCCTCAAAATCAAAATCAAAAACCCTGCAAAACTTCCCAAGTTAAATGCAATCTGTCAAAAGCATCTAGGCTAACATTGCTGTCTTGGTGTGATTAAACTTGGCTTTGTTTCTCCCATTAATAGAAGTTAAACAATCAGTCTCTGATACAGACTATCTTAATTGTTAGTTTTGGGGTGATACCAACTTTCTCACTTGCAGCTTACTTCAAGTGTTGCACTGGAAGACTTTCATCGTCACCTGCTGTGAAAGCCAGAGTTGTGCAGCTAGTAACTTTTTATTTTGCAGTGTATGTTAGATGAAAAACTTTGCACAGTTGGCTGAACCTGTAGAATTGTGACCATGTGATCGAAACGGATTACTTTCTGTTAAAATTGATAGGAAAGCTTCTGTCCACGTTGGTGGTGGCAGCTGTGTGTGTGTGTATTTTATATACATTCACTGGTTTTATTTGCTGCTGCCATCGCAATGCTACTCTGCGTACTGCATCATGCTTTACTTGGCTGGATTGCACGTGACCGTTAGTGAGCTTGAAGCTGTCTTTAACTTGAGCATTAAAGCCTTGTGCTCTTAGACTGAGGGCCTGGGTTGGTCCCTGTAAGCAGCTATGTGGATTAGCATGCTGTTAGTGCCGGTGGGATTGTGGTTGACTGGGAAATAGAAGCTGAAGTCTGAGATCTGTTTACACTTCTGTGACATATGCAAAAAGTGCAAGCTTGTTTTTGGTCTTCCAAGAAATTCCATTTCTCTGTACTATCATAGATTGGATTGATTGCTGGATAGTGATGTTGAGAGACATTAGTGCTATACTGCACCCCAAAATTTGTTTAAAGCTTTAAGAATGTAACTGGAGAGAAAATACTACAACTTGAGGGGAGGGGTGGTCCAACGTCCCTTTGAAAAATCCTGATTTCTGGTGGATGCCTGGATGAAGAAATAAATGCTACAGCATCACAGTAAAAGAACCACCCAGAAAGAACCCAGCAAAACAGCAACAAAAAAAAAAAAAAAAAAAAAAAAAAAATGAAACTGGCCTGTGTTGTCAGACTAATACATGCAGGGTGTGTTTCTATGTACTGTGTAGGATGACTTGATCTTGCTGCTTGATAGTTGGGTCTAGTGAGAATGTTCCAGGAGCATCCTAGTACGTTTGCTGCTAAGTCTTTTTCCCACTAATCCGAGTAGCTCTGATAACTTATCCCTGGATGATCTTAGAGATCTGAGGCCCTAGGTACAAATCTGTACTTACCTGTGAATTAGAGTTTGATTTGTTCTGATTTTTGTTGTTTTGGTTGTTTTGTTAGGTTTTTGTTTGGTTGGTTTTCTTTGGCTGGGTTTTTCTGGTGGTGTTTTGTTTGCAGGGAGGGGAGCTGGGCCAGCCAGCTTTGGGGATGTGTCAGTGTGTGCATTACTTCAGCCAGAGTTTTATAGTTTCAAGAAATGCCATGTTTCTTATGTGTTATGTCATATTTGTTTATTAAGGTGAAAAAATGCTTACTAATATAGAAAAAAACACAGATGGGCACAGAACAGGAAATGCTTGATATTATTAACAGGCTGGATGTGGTGTTTTTAAACATGACTGCCACTTATTTATGCATATTCATCATAGATGTACATGTCGTTTCCTTTCAGGTTCCTGAGCAGCAGCCAATTACTTTATGTAGTGGAGCTGAAGACACCAAGCATTACGAGGAGGGCAAGAAATGTGTGGAAGAATTAGCATTGTACCTGAAACCACTCAGCAGCGCGAGAGGTAGTTCCTGTGTTGTTTCCTTGGAAAATGAAAACTGGAAACAAGGCACAAAGCAAACTATGCAAATAACTTGTTCGTTGGTTTGGAAAATGGATATAGAGCTTGTTTAGAAAGAAATTGAAACAGCTTTCCTTGGTATTAAGGTTGTCTTCACTTGGAAGGGGGGATTTAAAGGCATTTTGTCAAAAAAAAATATGGAAAAAAGGCTGAGGTATTTGACAGCAGTGAAGTAACTTGAGACAGACTTAGTAAGTTGAGCTGACCTCTACAGACTAAGTAAAAAGAAATAATTCTGCTTTTGAGTTCTGCTTTATTTTGAGATAACAGTAGCAATGCAGCTTGCTTGTGGAGGAGGAATTAACTGAAATGAGAAAGTTACTGCATACAGGATATATCAAGATCAATAAGTAATACTGCTTATACACAATCTTACACAAAAGTTGGGTTGGTCTGAGTAGTTACAGTTTAGCAAAACTGCACGGAGTTCAAGAGTATGTATTTGATCTGTACTACTTATGGTGGTCTTGGAAAAAATCATAGAATTATTGAATGGTTGGGGTTGGAAGGGACCTAAAAGATCATCTAGTTCCAACCCCCCTGGCATGGGCAGGGACATCTTCCACTAAACCAGGTTGTGCAAGGTCCCATCCAGCCTAGCTTTGAAAGCTTCCAGGGAAGGGGTATCCGCAATTTTCCTGAGCAGACATGTTCCAGTGTCATTGCCCTCACAGTAAACCCAGGTAGTAGGTGTGAGCATCGTGGGGATCAGGTTTTCAAAACTGGATTTTTTCAAAAAGCTGTCTCAAGCTTTTCTAGCTAGTACAGTGTGCTAGCAGTAGTGCTCCAAGGAGTGGCCAAGTGAACAGGCTTTGTGCTGTGGAACAAACTCAGTATGGCAGCCCTGTGTCTAGCGAGTCACTTGTTCCTTTAATCTGTTTTCAGTGGCACTCAGCACACTGGTGAGTCAGTTTTACACGTAATTAAACATTACCAAAACAATGTTGAACTTGCATGAGTTTGGCTAGGCCAAATCAGTGGAAGTATTGGATGCAGATAAAAAAATGTCTTGTGAAAACGGACAAATGTTGAGGGAGGCAGTGCCTGAAGCTCTTCAGTAGTGGGAGGGCTACAGTATGGTCCTGCATTTGAGGTGACACCTGGGAAATCCATATGGAAGGATGCAGAGCAAGCTTTCAACATGGAGAGAGAACTCATTAGAGGTACTGCTTTCTTAGCCAAATCAATCACTCTTAAGACTTAAACCTGAAAGCTGGGAAAGCTCACTCCCAGGAACTGTGGGCTTTTAATGCTGATTAAAAAAAAAAAAAAAAAAGACAAAAATTAATTTCTGATAGGCCTTTTGTGGTGTTTTATTTAACAAAGTGGACATCAGGAGAACTGGGTTTGCATTTACACAGTACAGTGGTTGAAGGGTGGCTTAAGAGGAGATGTGAGGTAGCTTACCTTTTTTTCTTTTCTGCTTCTGAAGGTGTGGGTCTTAACAGTACTACTCAGAGCGTGCTAAGTCGTCCCATGCAAAGGAAACTTGTGACATTAGTTCATTGTCAGCTAGTGGAGGAAGAAGGGCGCATCAGAGCCATGCGTGCAGCACGGTCGCTTGGTGAAAGAACAGTCACAGAGCTCATTCTTCAGCATCAGAACCCTCAGCAGCTCTCTTCCAACCTCTGGGCTGCAGTGAGAGCCAGGGGGTGCCAGTTCCTTGGACCAGGTAGGTAACGTCATGGTGCTGCTTGAACACTAGAGGCAATTCGGAATTGAGGAGGAGTGATAAATGGGTGTCAAATTGCCCAAGTGGTTTTTGTTAGGCAGTGGTTTAATTTTTTAATAGTAGGTCCTCAGAACTGATGACATATCCGTTAGGCTGCTGCCATGGGCTCTCTGAGTTTTAGCGCTTTTGCAAGTCTTCTGTAAAATCCAGAGTAGTGTGTGTCCTTTTGTTCTTGTGATAAGATAAAATGGGATGTTGTTTCTTACTTGCTGTACTTTGGAAGAAGTAAGACCCTTCTAGAAAAGATAAGGTTACTAGAAGTTGCTGGGCATGGCTTTTCCTTCTCTAGGGTAATAAACATACAAAACAGTTGTGGGGAGAGATTTGTTACGTGGGGGCAGGTGTATTGCATTTTTAAGAAGTTACATACTTTATTTTAGTAGTGTATGAAATTTAATTTATTTTGTTTAAAACAACAAAAATATCAATGAAGTCTCATTACCGAAAATGTAAACCATTGCTTGTTGGGGACCAGCAAAAGTAATACCTTGCAATATGAATCCAATATCTTAAAACAAAGACAAAAAATAGACTTTTCCCCCACCAAAATAAGTCAAGACTGACTTTGGGATGCTCACTTTTGCACCAGTGCAGGGAAGAGAGAGGCTTGTTACCTAAAATACATCATGCTACAGCATCTGGTTTGTGTGGGCACTGGCTGCTCTTTTACCTACCTGCATGGGAACCAGCCTTGTCCTTCCTCAGCCCGTCAGCGTTTTCTGCTGGGATAGGTGTGGGATGTAGATAACACTTTGAAAATTCTAGTATTACTAATGGAGAGATCTACAGATGGGAAAAGTCTTCCTATCATCTGATGCCCAAAATACAACAAATAGTAATAAGTAAAAAATTAAAAATCCTATTTCCCCTGCCATAGTCTGAGCATCCGGGAGTGTTCCTTCCCTCTTTTCCCTCCCTTCTTGCTCAGTTCTCTTCCTGTATGTGGGATTGTGTTTTTTGGGGCAGAGGGAGCAGGGGAGGAGTTGTAGCTGTTCTCCCACTTGTAGGGAGGCAAACAGTGCAGAAATCTTTCTTGGTTTTATCTCATCCTTTGTCTCTTTTCTTTGCACTTTCCCCCCCACTAGCAATGCAAGAGGAGGCTTTAAAGCTGGTTCTACTGGCTCTGGAAGATGGATCTGCTTTGTCACGAAAGGTCTTGGTTCTATTTGTGGTTCAGAGGCTGGAGCCACGATTTCCTCAGGCTTCTAAAACTAGCATTGGGCATGTTGTCCAGCTTCTTTACAGAGCCTCATGCTTCAAGGTATGAAGAAGACTATGCTTGGAGATTTCAAATTAGTATTGAAACTGTTCTTTTTCACTTTAAATTTCCATTGTTCTGTAACATTAAATGTGCCTGAAAATGTGTAGTTATAGAAAATATTGCTCACGAACTCCCACACGTGCTTGGAGACTTTGTTGTACAGCTGTGATGGTGATGCAGGCTGAAATCATTACTTTAATCCATATAGCTGGATTTTGAGTCTGTCCAGGTTTCATAGATGCACAGTAGCAAAACCTGTATGTAAGTCAGCATAACTTACCTCCTTAAAAAGTGCTTAAATGGTGGAAAATCCCCAGTTCTGTTAATTGAGTGGTGGTGTGGTTAGAAACAAAGAAATACAAGGCTCTTGGCTATCAATTGTATGAAAAGAACTTAAGCTGCTGCTTATACTTTACAGTAGTTAATGGTCAGTTCCTAAGTGCTCAAGTGTCATTCAGTTTCACTAAATGAGGAGAAAAATTCTTTGTTGCTGCTAATTGTACCCTCAAACAAAATTCTGAAATACAAGCTAAATGCTTTGATTGAAGAAGTAGTAAGGTATCAATGCTGTAAAGTCTTTCAGCAAGTGTGACACTTCCACCAGTGTCTGGGTAAGTTGATTTTTGGTATCCATTTTGTAGAGGTTCCACTTTGAACCTATGAAGTGTGTGTTATTGTGGTAGGAACATAGTTCACGGCATAGTTCAATTTTGTGTGGGAGGAAGAACTTGGTAGCTGAGCAAAGATTTCACTTGCTTTGGACTTTACATAATCTCTTTGCTTATCCTGCTTAACAGTATTTGTCTCTTTCCTCCCTGCTAGGTAACAAAGCGTGACGAGGATTCCTCCCTGATGCAACTGAAGGAGGAATTTCGGACTTACGAAGCTCTGAGAAGGGAACACGATTCCCAGATAGTTCAAATAGCCATGGAAGCAGGTTTGCGCATCGCACCGGATCAGTGGTCCTCACTGCTGTATGGAGACCAGTCTCACAAATCCCATATGCAGTCTATCATTGACAAGGTAAAGCCACCTAAAATCAGCTCAGTCTGTCCTGTTTGCAACTGTAGTAGATTTAAATGCTTACAATGTGAATTTACAAATTATGCCCACATGAACTCGCACATTAATCATTTACCCTGTTAGGCCATAATGTTATCATCATTTGAAATAAATAATCAGAATAGGAATTTGTAGCCTAATGAGTCTTGTTCCCTCTACCATCCTGCTTTTTCTACTTTTACCTCTTTCTACAGGTGGGAAGCCTCAAAAGATTAGCTCCACAGTTGGGATGTGTCCTTTCTGAACAGCTGGTAGCTGCCAGTGTACTAACAGGGGCTAATGGTTCATATTTTCAGGCAGGAAGTTAGTGTGTAAGTTCAAAGATGATCAGTCCTCTAGTCTGTACCTGAAGGGAGAAAGACACATGGAAGCATGTTGCTTAAATAAAACAACTTGACCTCTGGAAGTGCCCAGATCTCTTTTTATTTAGAGAGAATAGGATAAATGAGCTTTGAAATTAGAGGACTCACATGCAAGTGCCTAAACTAGGTGGGAAGAATGGAACCTTGTTGAGAGGTTACAAGAGGTGTGAAACAATTGCTTTGACTGCCTTGCAGGAGGGCTTAGCTTCAGGGTCAGTCTGCTGTGTACTTTATGCCTTTGCTCACTTTTTCAGGTGTCCTGCCAGACATCTCCTGAAGGATCTAGAGTTAAAAGATTTTTAAATACTGAACTGGGTGATGATAGTAAATGGATGGTAGCTGTCTTTGTGCTTCAAACGTTATACTGTGTCTGCTGTACTCACATTTAAAGCAGGGTATAAATCTGTTGGTTCAGGGATGGGAGATGTTAGACTCTTCAGAAACCTAAATTAAATAGCTTCTAATAATATGTGCCTTTTTTTCTGGGTGCTAGCACAACACAGGGAAAAAGTAGGTTGCATTGCTAGAAATAACACCACCCTTTGATTTGTCTATTTAGAGCCATATTTTAACCTGAAGTGTCAGAGAATTGTGCGTTCTTAATGCTGGAGGATGAACTTCATAGAAAGTACTGACTGAAATAGGCTTCCATGAAAAACATTCTCCTCTGGCTTTGGAAGACGGCTCTTGTGAGCTCCTGGAGCAACCTTCAGAAGTCACGAGGATTGCTTTGCCCGTAGAAAGTTAATTATTGTAATTTGTTTAAGTTGCAGACCCCAGCCTCGTTTGCACAGAGTGTTCAGGAATTAACTATTGCTCTCCAGAGGACTGGAGATCCAGCTAACCTGAATCGTCTTCGGCCTCACCTAGAGCTCCTGGCAAATATTGATCCCAGTCCAGGTAAGTTTAGATATTGTATAAAACCCTCTAACTTGGAGTTTAGCTAAGAGGAGCTTAACACTGTTGAAGGATTGAAAACTGTTTATCAGGTGGATGGCAATGTCCTCTAACTCATACATTCAAGATTTTTAAGTGGTATTCTTAACCAGCCTGGCAACAGCAGTAACCTGTGTGAGGAACTGAACTATTCTGAAGTTAAAATAGATTATTCAAAAGTATGGCAGGAATAACTTCCCCACCTCTCTGAAGAGAGCTTTCTTGACTGACAGCTCTGGGTGAACATGGATGAGGATGATGAATACATATAATCCTGTGAGGTTGCATGGTGTGTACTTGATATTGGGCAATGCTAGCAGGGGGGAGTGGCAGCAGTCTTAGCTTCTTCCTTTTCCCATTTTTAGTACACATGCTGCTAATTTGAAACCAGATTTGCAAAGCAACCAAAGATTGATAGAACTACTGTGCTTAATGCAGAGCCTTAGCTGTCACTCCGAGATACCTTGTTCTCTCCAGTTCTTTACCAGACCAAATAATTTGTTTACAGACTAGAGGGAGATAAAGGATTTTACTTTAGTTGCTTAACATATCTAAAAATTGTTTGCCTTTGCTTTAGAAATTCTTTTTATTAGTTGTTGTTCTGAGGTCTCTAGGCTGCAGATATTGCACTCAGAAGACTCCTGGAGGCAGCTTAAAATCATCGTACCTTCTATGTAAACAATTTTGGGTTCCAAAGTAGTTTTGACACATTGAAGAGACAGAAGCTGGGCAAAAAAAAAAAATCAGTCTCAACAAAAAAGATTTGTTATCATAGGAATTTTAGTACTTTTTTTGTTAATATGTAATTCTGCAAAGGAGTGGAAGGCAGTTTGAGAAGAGGAAGTTAGTTGGAACCAATGTAACTGGCAAGTAAAATCTAAACTGCTGACAGAAGACAAAGACAAATTGTTGAAAAAGTCAGCAGCATTTGAGGATGGATCACCTGAGGGAGAGCAGACAGAAGAGAGTGGTGTGGCTGAAGTTTTATACCCATTAGTATTTGTAAAATCAAAATCAATATCAATGTAGTGTGAAGGCCTAAACTATGACTTCAGATGAAAGGTAGTTTTTAGTTTGTTTAAACAGACTGATCTGTCAAATGAGGACCACTGGTACTTTACTCTTAATCTTCTCAAGTCTCTCATACTGTAACAAATTGGGGACAGAACTGTGTGTGTACTGCAAATTTGTTAGCCAAAGACTGGTATGGAATGTGGACTCACCAGTAGCCTCTCAGCTTCAGTAGGTGAGTTTGATCTTGGTGTTTGTCTTCTGTGCTGTTGAGTTGCTTCCTTGCTGTTCTATAGGGACGTTGAAGTTCCTCTGGAAGAATTTAGTCCTTGTGAGTGGAGTAGAAACGTAGTTGTGCCAAAGACCTTGAAAGGCACAGAGCGTGTAGGCATGTGGTGGGAGTGTCATCTGCTGGAACAGATTAAATCATTAGGAAAGTAAATTGGCTAGAAAGAACAAGTGCCCCCATAGGATTAGGACTGTACAATTTATTCATTCTGCTGTTAGCTGGTATCCTGATAGATAAATTTGCCTTGTGACGTTTTGCCATGTGAGAGTCATCAATTTCTGTGACGGTTTGACTGCCTGTGTGATCTAGGCCAGTGATGATGGTATTTGTACAGAGTGATTTTATCTATGGGAGTGCAAAGAGATTTTCAGCCTGATTTTTTTATTATGTGCAGAGTTTGTACAATGCATTTACTCCAGAGTTCTTGTCAGATAAAGTTTTGGTAAAAGGAAATAATTTGGCAGGCTAATGACAGTCTTTCTGGTTCATTTGTTTTTTTTATGTGGTTCAATCTTGAGTCTGTAGGTAGCTTTATTCTTTAAGTGGTGCATACACTTGTTATCTAATGACACATATTTCCATAAACTGTTTTTAGTTGACTAGTGAAGTTTTATGATACTGATGGTTTCTTTGTACCTGGTTTTGAAAATCCTACTGACTTATTTATATTCTCTTTGTCAACACAATAGATGCTCCACCTCCGACCTGGGAACAACTGGAAAATGGACTAGTTGCTGTGAGGACTGTGGTTCATGGCTTAGTTGATTATATCCAGAATCACAGCAAGAAAGGAACAGATCAGCAACAGGTAAAAGCTAAATTATTTAGCTTAACCCTAAATTTTGCTGGCTAATGTCATCTGGAGAGATTTAGTTTGACAAGGAGCTGATTAAAATAACATTACATCACATTTACCAAAAAGGAAGGAAAAGAAGGAGAAAAAAAAAAAAAAAACCAAACAGGAAAAACACCCCATAAACCCAAAACAACACCCACCCCCCAATACCTGTTGCATTCATTTGCAAAGCTGACTGGGATGAAAAGGAGTCTGATCCAGCCACAAGCTTAAGGCGATGGCTTAACAACCTTCCTGACTAGAGAGTAGGAAAGAGAAGCTGAAGGCCTAGCACTGTGACCTGTGGGAATTTTCTTGGGTTTATTTTAATGTGACACATTTCAAACTGATGGCTCTGTGTTAATGAAATATTTCTTCTACCTGTGCTTAATGGTCTGTAAAATTTAAAGATTTGGGAAGACTTCATACAAAGGTCCCATTGAAGTTCCTGAAACGAAAGGGTTTTTTTCAGAAACGAAATGATACTGCCTAATGTATACATTAGCTTATCTCACAGTTATCTATATTGCATGTTCTTTGATGTCATTTCATTGTACAGTGAGGCTGATATAAATGCAAGCTGCTGCTGAAAGACAGAGCTGCCTGTCACATTCCCACTCCCTCCCTTGCTTTGGCACTCAGCCTCTTGGAGAGCTGGTTCAGGAGCTTGAACTAGCAGAGAGATTTTTCTCTGCCAAGAAAAAAAGAGGCAAAATTAGAGTGAATCATTTCAGTTGTTTTACCTTTTTTCATTCACTGGGATGCCTAATGAGCACTGCTACCAGCAAAAGGAAAAGCAGTAGGAATACACAAGTGGAAATAGGGGTGAGAAAAACAGTGAGAATTTTTGTTGTGGTAAGACCATCACTGGACCTGGTAAATGCTGCTCCTCTTGGGGGGGAACCCAAAGCCTCCCAACCAGAAGAGGGGACATCTGCTGAGTACTGGACAGAGTGTTCCTGGCTGGCAGCAGTGGCCAGCAGAAGACTGTGCAGCTGGTATACGCCCTGCCTAAATCCTTTTTTTCATTACAATAGATGGGGAAAAAAAAAAAACTTGGTCAGTTTTCAGGTGGCTTCTTACAGATTTACATCTTTTCACGGAATTTCTCAGAAAGCAGGAGTTTACTTGTACAGACCTTTCCCTCAGTGGGAACTCTGATAAGCTATTTTTGTCTTTGATTTAATCTGCCATAAAAAATGCAGCAACTTAAATGTATTTGAGACCACCTGTGGCCTTCTGTCAGAATTTATTTAGAGAGACTGGCAATTGGGTGTACTTACACACAGCAAGACTGCAATAAGACATCATTCCTTGAGAAACTTAAATAAGACAACCCATACCCTGCTGATCTGTGTAGGAGTAAGATTGCACCCTCAGCTATTGACAGAAATAATTATTGTAGACAGCAAAGAGACTTTTAGTGCAACAGAGTAAAAGGAATCTTGATGAAATTTAACTGTTGAAGAGATTGAAGGGATACTCAAGTGCCATTTGAGTGTACAAAAAGCAAGGGGAAAGTAACTGACTAAATGTTCATTATTTTCAATCTACTACAAAGCTTGATAAATATTTTGCAATTTCTGATTAAGCATGGTCATTGCTTTTCAGCCTATGTCACTTTTGTCCACTTAACTGGGTCCTGAAACAGACAGCTGTGTTCCAAGCAAACTCCAGTAAGGAATTTGAATAAAAAATGTCTAGTAACTTAGTTGTCAAAATACCTACTCTTGAATTGGTTCATTTTGTTGAAGAACCAAATGTGAATACTGCTCTGGTCATTTAGGTGGCAATAGTTACTTCTGGAATATTTAAAATGAAGGAACTGGCAACAAACATCAGGCCTTTAATAAGAGAATGTGTTCAGCTCATGGTTAAGTGTGCTTACATTCAGCTGTCTCATGTGGTGTCTTTAACCCTGCCAGCCTCCTCAGCACAGCAAGTACAAGACATACATGTGCCGAGACATGAAGCAGAGAGGAGGATGCCCCCGAGGGGCCAGCTGCACCTTTGCACACTCACAGGAGGAGCTCGAAAAGTAAGTGTGCCTCCTATGGTAGAATTCAGTTCAAACTCCATTTTGTTTTCTCCATAGGAGTTATTTATCATATCTAGGCATGGGGAGAGAAGGAATAACCTGTCTGTTGTGTTAGCAAAAAAATTATGTGAAAAACTTTTAGCAGACATGTCTTAAGTCTTGGAACTGTTAATTCTTAAGTATAGGTTGTTATGCTTTGTTCAGCAGTAATGCAGCTCTACAGGTTTGGTGTTCACACAAGTGTTAATTGAGATTTTGGAAGTGTGCTTCTGTTATTTCTTAAGTGTGACTAAACATGCTGTGTGACTGCATCCCTTAAGATTTATTTGTGTGTACTTCTCATCTTGTGTTGTATCCAAGTAGGTTGCTGGCAGTTTCCTGATGTAGGGGTTCTCTTGTTCTGTGCTGCTCAGCCTATCCAGAGAGCTCAAACCAAGTGTCACAAGCTTTCTTTCTACAGCAGTTATCTGAAATTTTTTGATAGATGAGATGGCACATGTAGTAACTTTAGAGTGGTTAAAGCTGCTGATGAAGAGTTTAAAAAAGGTGTTTGTATGAAGTCTGCAGTAAATAAGTTCCATTCATTACAGGTTTAGAGGGGCTACCATTATGCAAGAGCAAGCTGCTGCTGGTTTGAATATTTTTTTATTTTTTTTTTTTTAAGGAAAATGGGTTATTTAAGAGTAAGAAGAAATAAAACCAATGTGTATTATGCAGTATATATAACTTGTCACTTGTTTTTTGGGCATTCATGTCTTTGAAAGAAAAGGTTCTTTTTCATCAGAAGGGCACTCCAAAGATTTGTAAATATTATGCAGTCTTTTTTTCCTTAATCTAAAACTTGAAGCATTGTCTGGCAGCTCATCGGCTCTGTAGCCAGTGTGCAGTGCATAGGCAAAACAGGAAGGGGGAAAAAAAAGAGCAGAGCACGTGGTGTTAGAGTGACAAAGGCAGTTATTCAGATGAGCAGAGAATAGGACTTTGATACTTGTGTTCTGCAGAAACAGTTGGGGGTTTTCCCCTCTTGTCATGGTGTTAAGAAAATGGAGATTGGTAGTGCTGGTCTGGATAGTTAACAAGGTGGTGTGTCAGTATTAGTACCTCTGAACTAGTTGCATGTATCAAGAAGGGACTGTTTGTCAGTTTTGCAAGTGAAAGGCCTGTTTTTATCCAGACTGACTTGTATGCCTTAGTAATAATGTTGTTGTGAGGTGAAGTGAATGCTGGCTCTGTTTCTGGTTGCAGCAGTTTCTGTAGGTGGGTGTGGACCTTAGAGTTCTGATTCTTCCTTGTACCTTTTATCTTTCCTTACTTCCTTTGAGCAGATACTGCATTAGTGTTTCTCCTTTTAAAAATGTTTAGTATGGAAAAAATAGGCATTGCTGTTGCGGTGTAGTTCCTGTATCTCTACATAAAGCTTGAAATTTGCAGGAAGGTTATGGGAAAGTATGTGGCAATGCCTTAGGTAGCAAATTATAACCTAGACTTGCTTAAACAGTAGCTGATTTTCCTCTTGGCAAGGGACAAAGAAAGCCCTGGTGTGCATACTCAAATAGTGAACGTTCTTAGGTTTTGTGTCCTGCACGTGTAGACGCTGCAACAATGATCTGTACCATTGTTCAGAAAAACCCAGAGGTTAGTGTTGTGCAACTTGTGTTCTTTCTGAATATTTTATCATGGAGAGTGCAGTATAAACTCTTCCTGTCACCTTTGGAATGGTTGCCTATACATGTGTGCCTGTCTCTCTTGAGCATACTGTTGTGTCTGAGATGAATGGGCAGGGGTGGCCAGTCTTCCTCGTCTTGCAAGTTGTGTGCAAGAGGGTCAGGAGTCATCAGATGCCTCTAAGACACTTGATGGGTGGCAGATGTCCAGAATTATTTGGCAGAGAGAACATGGCAGTCATTTCCCAATGTCCTGCTGCTGCTTTGCAGGGAGAAGCTGGTTTGGGTGTTGAGTGGGGAAGTAAAGCTATAAGTTCAGCCTGGGGACCTCTCTTCAAATAGCAGTGACGTTACAGTCTAACAGTTAATTGTAATTTCTCAGAAGCCCTTAGGAAATGTGAATTCGAACTTGAAGTTTTTGATAGCATCTATTTAAAAAATCAGCTCAAAAATGCAACTTCTTTTCTTTTTTTGTTTCAATTTTTTGATGTGTGTTTTCTTTTGTGAAGATTCCGTAAAATGAACAAGCGACTGGTTCCCAGGAGACCCCTGAGTGCCTCCCTGGGCCAGCTAAATGAGGTGGGCCTGCCTTCAGGAGCTATCCTCTCGGAGGAAGGGGGAGTGGACTTGCCCAGTAGGAAAACCTCTGCTCTGCCAAATGGAATTGTGTCAACAGGCAGCACAGTGACACAACTTATTTCTCGAGGGACTGACTCCGGTTATGAAGCGGCTCTGAAGCCAGGGAAGATGGACCATCTGAGCAGCAGTGCCCCTGGATCCCCACCTGACTTGTACGGCTCTTCCTAACTGTTGTTCAAAGCTTCATGTGTGTAACTATGCAGTAGAAACAAACCCATTCTCCAGGAAAGAAATGGAACAGGGGATTTGGGGTTGGTTTTATTTGGGCTTTATAAATGATTAGAGTAGAAAACTAAAGCTAAAACTCTAAACTGCATTACTTGCCTGTTCCGTTTTAATTGGAGAAGGTGATGTAAGCCTTCAGAAGGTGGAACATGGGCAAAGAACAGTGTTTTAAAGTACAAAGTGCTGTATCAGGCCATGGTGAACAGTGCCATCCTTCTGCTTTTTAGGATGGAATCTGTCCCAAAGAGTTCTATTGCTGCCTTACCAGTGAACCCTCATCCTGTGCCTGCTCGGGCACCAACAGATCTGCCTTCAGTGTCTGTCACCAAGCAGTTGCAAATGGTACCACGAGGCTCTCAGTTGTATAATGCTCAGCAAGCAGATATGTTTTATCAAGATCCTAGGGGAGCTGCTCCGCCATTTGAGCCAGCACCCTACCAACAGGGTAAGTTTGAGAGCAAGCTCTATCTTTCATCTTTGTACTAATTTGATTCTTCCCAATCCTGGTGTTTAAGCCCTTGGGTTGTAGTTTTCCTGCATGTCACATGGACTATAGGTGGTAGTGGGGTGGTGGCATAATAAAATGGAAGTTGGTAGGCTTTTTATGTCTTGACTGCAGACTTTAATGCAAGCAAAACCAGAGTTTTGTATGCATCCAATGTAGCATATCCTTCCCAGGTCAGGGATGTGGTAAACCTTAATTCAGTTTGGCTTGGAGAAAATAGAAATAAAGCTTAACTAGCAGAAGGGTGTGTGCTGGACAGGTGAAAGTACTTATATCTTAAAAAAAGTTAAAAACAGTGTATGAGTGTTTCAGAAACATCTGCACGTGGCATGTGAGGGGTAGACAGAAGTGGAAAAGGCACAAAAGAGAAAATGTAATAACAAAGGAACTAAGGGATAAAACTTATATTTAAATATAAAGAAACAAAGTGGAGAAAGATAATACTGAAGGAGATAAAAAAAAAAAGCTATATATAAAGACAGAGAATGACAGTTATGCAACATAAGATAGGAGAAGGAAGTGACATAAAGTGAAGCTAACATGAAAGAAAAGTAAGGAGGGACTGAAGAGAAAGCCCTAGAAACAAAAGGGGGAGATATATAACCATTTTTGAGAAAGCAGCAGAACATTTTGAAGGAAAATATAAATAAATTTGATGCACAAGTTGTTAATGATGTGGACACATTCATGTGTATTTATATGTAAATTATCCAGAGATTCCAGATAGATTACTAAAATCCTCACAGAACTAGGTGTGATCTTAGAAGTCTTTGCTGAGTCACAGTACTGAAATGTTCTTCTGCTGTTCAAGAGGTAGAACAAACCTTTAGAAAACTTAATTCTGCTCAGTCTAACCTTCTTTACACAGGCAGTGGCTCTGGTGTATTGGAACAAATCACATTTTAGTTGCGTGGATGAAGATGTACAGGCTAATTTTCAGTTTACTTTTAAGGTCTTGTCTAGCAAAAAGCATTCATATCAATCTGCAGAGATTTTCTAGTGAATTATTTCTGTTTGGTATGGTAGCAGGACTTCGGGGGCACCTGTGGTGGGCTCAGTCTCACCACCTCTTCTCCAGCTACTGTAACCTTTGCACCCTGTTTATATCTTTATTTAGATCATTAAGCTGTCACTTGAGCTTTCAACAGAAAACTTCGAAAAAACAAAAGTTTGTGGTTAATTTTTGAAGTAGGAATACCAGTTAGACAGTGGGGGAAGACAACAGTGAATTAAGTTACACCATTCTCCTGATGATAGTTGTAGGCTGGAGTATTTTTGTGGACAGTTGTGGTAATCACTTTCTGTATCATGTTTGTTTTTTCCTCTCGCTCGTTTCAGGAGTTTACTATCCCACTCAGTCCATGTCTCGCTTTGTCCGACCTCCTCCATCGGCTCCTGAGCCTGCTCCACCTTATTTAGACCATTACCCCCCCTACCTGCAGGATCGTGTGGTGAGCCCACAGTACACACAGCCACAGCAGTACCCTCCTATGGGCCAGCCCATATACCCTCAGCACTACGACAGCCGCCGCATCTACCCCCCTGTCCAGCCCTATCAGCGAGAGGAGATTGTCCGAGGAAGCCCTGTGCCCATTGAAATTCCACAAGCAGCTGTACCTTCCTATGTACCTGAATCCAGAGACAGATACCAGCAAACAGAGGGTTATTGCCCAGTGGCTCCACATCTCAGTCAGATCAGACCTTCGTGCCACAGGGTGTGTTTTTTATATTCCATTTTTCTAGTTATTTGGGAGAGAAAATATCAACTCCTTGAGAAGCTGAGTAATTTTGCACTAAGGCAGTGGGTTTTTTAATAAATTAGAAGTTTGAACTTTAAAAAGGGGTACATTTGACAAAGCTGATGAACAACTGGAAGGAAGTTTAGTTACTGGTCAACTCTGCAGTTGTAATGATGTTAATATGTAAAAGAGTGGGCTGTTACTTAGTGCTCGAAGTAGGAAAGCGTGATTCATTTTGGAAGTCTAGTATGACCCTGACTTCTCCAACAAATGTTAGGCTGGAGAGTGCTGCTCTCCTTCTAGTCCAGATTACATACAGCATGTGGAAATGTTTGTGTGTGCATTCTTGTTCTGGCCTTTGGTGACTGACCAGATCCATGCCTATCAAGGAATGTATCTGTGTGTATTTCTTCATTTAAAGACACTAAAAATTCTGCTCTTCCAAATTCTGTACTTTAAGATTGCAAACTGGAGTGTCTTCCTAGTAGAACTGACAAAGTTGTTTTGGTCAATCACCAGCTAGAAATGAGTCCTGTAGAATAGTTGGATTTACCTGCCTGTCAGTCAGATTAAAGACTCTGAGTTGTATTGCTGAGTCCAGGAAACATTTCTAACATAGCTTACAGATTTATCAGGTTTGAGTTTGACGTGTTTTGTGGGATGTCTGATTCTATTGCAAAATGAATGGTAAATACGACTAACCGTGACGAGGTTACAGTCTGTAGAGTTCTGCCACCTGTATGACTGAAATGGACTTGCCATGTTGGAACACATTCCGGTGGAAACTTCAGCACTTTGGAATAGTCATGTTGAGCTACCTGTGCATTAAAAGATCAGTAGTTTTAAAGTTAGAAATGCTGGCTTTGCTGAGGATCTCATCAGTTTTAAACAAATAGGATTCCCTGCCTTTGACATATCTTGTACTAATGCTCTGGCCGGTGTAGGAACATACATGTCCTGTATTAAACCTGAAAGTTAAAAGATAAGAGTTTTTAACAAAGTAACAATCATTCCTGTGATTGTGGTGATACCATCCAGTCACTGTATTTTCCTTTTCTTGCAGTATATCGTTGACATATATTGTTTGGGTAAACAACATTTTTCAAATTACTCAATTTGTGCATTAACACTTCAGAAGCTTTGAAACATTTCTGTCTTCATTTTAGCCTCATCCCAGCCTGGACGAACTTCACCGACGAAGGAAAGAGATCATGGCCCAGCTAGAAGAGAGGAAGGTGATTTCTCCACCTCCTTTTGCACCATCGCCAACCTTACCTCATCCTTTTCATTCAGAGGAGGTAAGCATATTTGGACAAATGTGACTTGCTAGCATGTTTAGAAAATACTTTGGAGTTTGTGTGCTGATAAGTGAAGACAACAAGAAAATTAGAACAGTACAGCGTTGGGGGAGGCAGATTTTGTGGCTCAGGTGGGAAGCCCTTACAGTGCAGTCTCCAGTCTCAACTGGCTATTGATCCTCTGATCTCCCACTGATCTTAAGCGGTCTGCTTTTGGTGTAATCAAGACACTTAGTCTTGAGCCATTACTAATTGAAGTAGTTAAGTCTCTGTGGTTACTGGCCTTCACTTCATTTGCTCCTGATATGTTTAAATCTCTATCAGTGTTACTGAATTCTATTTTATTTAACCAAGGTCAAAATATCACTTTCTTAATAGCCAAGTGAACACTGAGCCCTGGGAATGTAGCCAGCTGATCAGAATTTCACACATTACATGCTTGCTGTGGCCCAGTTCCAAAGGGTGATGTATCCTATTAAAAAAAAAAAAAAAAAAAAAATGTCCTGGTGGAGGTTTTCAAGTTCACCGGTGTTGAAGCAAGTCCTGGTGGCTGTGAAGCTGCTTCTTCCCTTCACTTACAGAACCAGGTTTTTGTTTTCGTACAGTACTTGGATGAAGACCTAAAGGTAGCTGGGAAATACAAAGGAAATGACTACAGCCAGTACTCTCCCTGGTCCTGTGACACCATCGGCTCCTACATTGGAACCAAAGATGCAAAACCCAAAGACGTTGTGGCAGCGAGGAGCGTGGAGATGGCGGTACGTAGGGATAGGGGGAACTCGGAAGAAAAGCTGTCATTTCTGTGGGTGGGAAGCATTCCAGGGTGATGGCAGTTCTTGTGTTCAAGCTGTGAAGTGTATTGCAGTCAAAGAATGCATTTGTAGGTATGCAGGGTGCTTTGTTTTTGAATCTCAGAACTGTCCTGCATCTGTGTAGCTGTTCTAAAATTGTGGATATAAATGCAGGCTGACCACTCTGCTCTAAAGCCATGGATAGCAAGAGATATCTTACCATGATTCTTTACGTTACTTGAAATCCAAAACTTACTATCTGACAGTTTAACTAAACATGTCCGTCTGTTGCTTCCTGTACTACTTTGTCAGAGGGAGATGCTGTAACTTAACTTTGTGCCATTCTTTCCATTTAAGGTGATTGTTTCTGCTGTTAACAATGTTGTTAGTTTTTATTTGAAGGACACCACAATTTGTGAGCACAGAATACCCAAAACTTGCATGAAGCTTTTGAGATCAGCGTAGCAATGACATACTAAGCTGATTCTTCCTGAGGGTAATTTGTAACTATGCTGTGCTTGTTCAGTCCTTTACTGAAGCCATGGGTGTCTGGCTGTTGGAATTTTGCATTTTTGCTAGGTCAGTGTTGCTAGGGCTGCTAGGGTGTTGTTATTTGGATTCATGAACGTAGAAGGAAAAAAAATAAGATCCTGAAATACTGCCACTGTTGTGGTTTTTCCTAACATTAAAGCATTGCTCAGCAGCAAGGAGTAGGCTGGTAGCCCATGTAAATAGGAGAATGCTCAAGTCTTCAAGAAAAAGGTCTGTTTAGCCTGAGAAACTGTTACAGAGACGTATCTGGTTTTTCTCCTTCAGTTCCCTTCTGCCAAAGTGTTCTGTTGTCTTTTGTTTATATATTGTCACTGTCATGGTGGCCTTTCTTTGGCCAGTATGGGGGGAGAGAAGTTTCTTTGTAGAATTTATTGTTCTGTGGACAGGTGCTCACCTGTTGCAACCACTTAAGTAAATCATGGGATTTTTCTGTCCAGCTTGCCTGCAAGCAGGCATCCCTGCTTCCCCTCTGCTTCACTGGAATGAAATGTGTTTTCTGTCCACTGAATTGCTTTCCTGTAAGACCTTGAAGGCCCTGTGTGAGCTGGCAGTAAAACAGAGGCTTTCGCCCAGAAAAAGCAGAGTGAGAAAAGGCGTTTCATCTGTAGGTTTGGGTTTGTTTTACGTGTCCTTTTGCACTCTGTCCTACACAGTGTGTTTGCCTCGAGTTGTAATGCTGTCACATTTGACCTGGAGAAGTACGGAGATTACTCAGAATTGGCCAAATGCTGTCCAAGTGGCAGCGTTCAGGAATCATAGAATCTCTAAGGTTGGAAAAGATCTCAAAAATCATCAAGTCCAAACATCAACCAAGCAATAGAAATAGAAAATTGCAAACAAACTGAACTCAATTAAGAGAATAAATAGGCTTCTGGAGAAGCAGCTGACTTTTGCATTGCTAAACAGAGCATTCCTCTGCCTCAGAGAGAGTTTTTGAATATGCAGATAGGATCTCTGCTGCTGATCAACTTTTCATCCTCACAGGAAGAAAGTCTCAGGAGAAACTCACTGCTGATAGCAAGTGAATTATTAATTTATTTTTTTTAATTGTACATAAGAGATTCCTTTTTTCAAGTATAGCAGTAGTGTCATTTGAGAGTGCATAATGCTGTGGATTTTATGCAGGTGGCATTGCAACTGTACTGTGGTGTGTATTCCCCCTTAGTAAGTGGAAATTAAAATTGGTACTAGTATCCTACAGACTCAAGTTTAAAATGGTTGGTGGGTTGTTTGTGGGTTTTTTTTTTTTTGTTTTTTTTTTATAGAATTCCAAATTAGATGTTACCCAATGCCTCTTTCAATTTTGGTGTGCTACATTTCTTGAGTTTAGCTTCCAACCTAGCTGTGACTGCCAGTTTCACTCCTTTATTCCTGTCTTAGCTGTGTTACCCTGTCTGTCTCTAACAATCCTTATCCTCACCTGAAACCAACACCTGAAAACCTGTGGGGTTTTACTTAAATTTTGGACCATATGTAAGTTTTGAGCTTTTAGCCAGTCCTCTTTGTGTAGTAGCCCTGCTTACTTTGTTCTTTTTGCTGCACACAGCTCTGTTGCATTTTTTTATTTCTGTAGCAGTCTCAACTCAATTTTGGCAGTTCTTACTGTGCTGTATTTTCTGGTGGCAAACAGATAGCTTTCCCAGTTAAAAGAGGACTTCCCCCACTTTTTTTGAGTATATTTCTGCAACCATTTTGTGTTTACTTGGATGTGATGATTATTCAGGGGTTTGTTTGGTTTGTTTTTTTTTTTGTGTTAAGGAAGCTTTTTAAAAATTCGTTTTTATTCATGGAAACAACCCATTGACTCATATTTTTGGAGTTAAACACTCTAGATGACTTTTCCCATAACTGGCCTAACTTTATCTCAGAAAAATATTTGTTAAAAATCTTAATGATAATTTCTTGTTTCTTCTTGTAAGTTAAGTTTCTTCTTTTAAGTAAGTTAAGTCAGATTGACCTACTAAATTGATTATTTTCTGGAAACATCTTTTTTGACTGCTTGGCAAAATTCTCAGAGTAGAGAGAACATTTTATCTGTTCACTTGCTGACCCATCAAGGTGTTTCAGTCTAAAGCAGATTTAGAAACCATGATGTTCCAAGTAGTAATGCTACTGAAATAATGCATCTGAAAAGTTGTAATGTACCTGAAAAGATGTGCTAGACATGTCCAAGTAAGTGCTATACTGAATAATCACTATTTTGAGGCACCTGCAGGCTGTTAGATAATACAGAAATTTTTTTTCTGCTTGGGAAGCATTATGTATCCCTCAGAGATGCCTACTGATCTCTCTACCTTTTATTCTGGAGTTCTTTTTCCCTTCTGTCCTATTAGACTTTCTCTGTCTTAATTTTGTTGTGCTGCTGCTCTCTTCTCTTGGATTTGTTCTCAGTTAATCATGGAACTGTTTCACAGTGGTTGTGGTAATGGTCATCATAAGGTACACCATTAAAGAGACATCAACTCTAATGATGGAGTTATAAATTGAACAACAGGAAGACTAGTTGAAGGATGAAGGGACTAGAGAATACAAGAGAGACTTGTACAGTACCAGTACCAGCTTGTTGTAAAAGGAATGTGGTTTTGTTCTTTACTGAGTAATTTTTGTCTGCTTTTTCTATACCTTGTCTAGAACGTAGATAGCAAAGCCATGCGTGACCAGCGGTTGGACATGCAGCGACGAGCAGCAGAGACTGGTGATGATGACCTCATTCCATTTGGAGACCGACCAACTGTGTCGAGATTTGGGGCTATCTCTCGTACTTCCAAAGCGATGTACCAGAATTCTGGTCCCATGCAGGCCATGGCGGTTCAGGGAGCTAACACCAAATCAATCATTTCAGGTATGAGGCATGCTCTTAGATGTTGCTGGCTGTTGCACAGTGTACAGTGTAGTATGAGTTGAAGACAACCCCTGTGAACTTGTTTCTTGTCTTAGAAATACAGATGAGGTGTATGTTGTGCCACTAAATATAACTCTAGGTAGGGCTGCACTGAGAAGCCTGAAGAAAAAGGCTGCCACTACTTTTTCCATGAACAGGTTTGTGCACGCATGGTATCCATGTTGGTGATTTGTGGTTGCTGTTTGGAAGAAGCTATTTTCTGCTGGTCCCTCAGAGATGAGGCTTCTTTCAAATCTGTTGTAGTAGAATCCATAAAGTTAACTGCCTTCTCAAATACAAAATGCAAAGCTAGCATAACAAAGTACTGTGCTGCACTCCTACTTATGGGTGGTTGCTGCTGCAAGCTTAATGCAGTCATTGTTTTGTGTACTGTTAGGCAAAGCAAATAAAGTAGGAATAGTTTATTTTCTACACATTTAGTTTCTGATCACATGTATAGTGTGGCTGTATATCTTATTCCAAAAGATGGTCTTTTTCCTGAGATGCACTGAATGATCTTCAGAAAAGACTGAATTATATTTAACTAAATTTCCTTCTGGACTTTTTTCAGGAATTAACTGCTAGTAACAGAACAAACTCATTTGCTTGAATTAAGCAGTAACTTTCTAGACTATATCACAGGTAGAACTCTAGCTTCCCTGAAAGCTTCATATTAGGTGTCTCAGAATTATTCATCGACTCTCAAGTCTTTTAGGAACTTAAGGAGTAAAAATAATTGCTCTCAGAGTGGCTGTAAGTTTTGGTTTTGTCTCCATCTCCCTCCGTGTCTGAAGTCCTTCAGACTGTCTGAAGACAGACTCTGGAAGGCTGTCACAAATCCTGCTAGGCGTGCAGGAGGTGTCATGTGTTACGCACATGACACTAGTCACGCTTAGTAT